CACATACATGCAGGCAATACACTCATACACCTAAAATAAAAATAATAAATATTTAAAAAAAAGTTATTTGATAAGTCCACCAAGTTGGCAAAGTGATCCCTAGTGAAGAGACGGTACAGGTGTGAATTGATTTAATGATTTTGGAGGACAGTTTGGCAGTGCTTAGCAAATTTGAACATGTATATGCCCTTTGTAGCAGTCGAATTTCTAGAATACAGAAGAAAATGTTGTTTATGTGTTTGAGGTACAAGACTGTATGCAGCAACAGCATTATTCATTCTTTAAATTAAAAAAAATTATGTGTATGAGTGTATTGCCTGCATGTATGTGAGTGCACCCATGTTGTGCAATGCCTCGGAGGTCAGAAGAGGGCTTCGGATTCCCCTGGAACTGGAGTTATGGACTCTTCGTAGCTGCCATGTAGTTGCTGGGAATTGAACCCAGGTCTTCTGCTGCAAAAACAGTGCTCTTAACCGCTGAGCCATCTCTCCAGCCCCGCATTATTCATATTTTAAAAAGTGGAAGCAAAGCAGTTCATCACTAAATTAGTTAATTATGTTATTTTTTCATTAGAATATTGTAGAGAAAATCAGTGTAGTACATTTATACTCTTTAACATGAGTGAGTCTCATGAACAATATTAAGCAGAAGACAAGTCAGAAATACATGTGCCAAGCGTGGTGGTATACGCCTTTAATCCCAGTGCTCAGGGGGCAGAGGCAGATCTCTGAGATTGAGGCCAGCCTGGGCTACATAGTGAGTTCCAGGCCAGCTGGGGCTACAGGGAGACCCTGTCTAAACAGAAAGAAGGAAATATGTGGTGTGATTTTTCTCTACATAAAGCTTAAAACAAGAAGGGCTAGGACCTGGAGAGATGGCTTAGTGGTTAAGATCACTGGCTGCTCTTGTAGAGGACCCAGGTTCGATTTCCAGCACCTACAGGGTGGCTGACAACTGCCTGTAACTCCAGTTCCAGGGGTTCTTCTGACCTCTGCAGGCATTACATGGCACGGTACACCCATCTATATGCAGGCATTACACCCATACACATAAAATAAGAATAATTTTTTTTTAAAGCTATAGGAATGTTCACTGAGATGTTAATTTTTTTTTTTTTTTTTGGTCTTTTTGAGACAGGGTCTCCCTGTAGCCCTAGCTGACCTGGAACGCGCTATGTAGACCAGGCTAGCCTGGAACTCACAGACATCTGTCTGCCCCTGCCTCCCAAGTGCTGGGATTAAAGGCATGCACCACCACGCTCGGCGGTTAACATATTTTTTTAAGTCTTCCATAAAACAGTTTTGACCCATTTAATATAAAATGTGCACTACTTACCAAACCTGGTGGCATAAACCTGTGATCACAGAAACTCAGGAGTCTAAGGCAGGAAGATTGCAAGTTGAAGGCCAACCAGAAATACAGAGTGAGTTTCAAGACCAGCATACCCGTCTCAAAATAAAATAAAAAGAGGGCAGGGGATGTAGTTCAGTGGTAGAGTCTTCTATGCATAGGCTCCAGGTTCTATCCCTAGTTTTTTAAAAAAGATGAACTACTAAATTTATAAATGAAGCCATTTTACCAAGTTTTCTGTGATTTGTATGAAGAAAACATTCCAGCACTGAGAAAAAATTTTTCATCCTAATGATCTCTAATTCTTAATGAAATGAATAGTTTTTCTCTTAGTAACAAAGAGCTAGGCATGGTGTGATCCCAGCACTTAGGAGGCCGAGGCCAGCCTGAGATCTTCCCTCAGGGGTCAGAAGGGGAAAGAGAGTTAGAGGAAGAAAGTTCGATTTAAGGAACTATTGAACTTTTTTCCTCACTAACAAGTATGCAGGGATTCTTGAGGTCATCTCTGAAGATGTTAAGTTTAAGTAATTTCTTAATTTCTCTTGATTTTTGAATTATTGTATACACAGTTTAATATGCTTTACTGTGTAAAAATATGAAGTATCTTCTAGCAGAAGTATATTACAAACAGCTATAAAGCAGAGTTCGGGTGTGTGTCTGCATGTGTTACAGCTGGGAACTTCTCCACTTCACCTGGCAGCACAGTATGGGCATTACTCCACCACAGAGGTTCTACTCCGAGCTGGTGTAAGTCGGGATGCCAGAACCAAAGTGGACCGAACACCGTTACACATGGCAGCTTCTGAGGGCCATGCCAGCATAGTAGAGGTTTTGCTTAAGGTATGTTTTCTTTATGGACTTGGGTTTTAAGTCCAAACCCCACAAAATCTTCTAAAAGGAAGGGAGCTAGTTTTATTGAGTGCCTGCTTCTGGTTTTACCTATGATAAGCCTGTCAAATTAATATTTCTTATTTCTTTCAGGAGGGAAAAATCTTCCTGTAGGTAATTTCAGTTAAATCAGACAATTGAAAGTTAGTCCTTTGGGTAAAGAACTACCCTGTTGTCATAATATAGTTAGAATATTCCTGGAGGGATGATTAGGTTTGGATGATAACAAATAAATTAAGCAAGTAATTAAATGAGGATTTTTCTAAAATCATCTAAATGCCAAAAGGGCTATGTAGAAGATTCTGAAGCAGAGTGATAACCTTTTCATTCTTGCCTCTAGATGAACTCACTCAAAAGAAATATAGTCCATAAATGAAAGCATGTATAATTCAAGATGATTTAAAAAGCTACACTAAAAAGGTCAAATCTGTCTGGCATGGTGGCTCAGGTCTTTAATCTCAGCATTCAGTAGCCAGAGGCAGTGGATCTTTATGAGTTCAAGGTCAGCTTGGTCTATATAGGGGAGTTCCAGGCCACCCAGGGCTACATAGTAAGACTGTGTCTAAAAAATAACCCAAAAGTAAGAACTCATTTTGATATTTAATTTAACTTTGTATATTTAAAACATCATTTCATCATGAGATCAATATGAAAATTATTAGTAAGGTGTTTCACATTCTTTTAAATAATTCATTTGAATTCCAGTGCTTATTTACAAAAAGCACATCTGTATTTTGACTAGCCACAGTTGAGTTTTAATAGCTACATCTTGCCTGTCGTGTTGGACATTATATCTTTAGAGAACTTCCTTCTAATTCCTTAGGTCATACTGGTCTTGTAAGAAAGGATAGTTTTAATTAAATGAGGGATGAAGGATGAGGGGAATCATCCTTCCATATACTGTTAGAGAATTCTGGAGGCATGCTCATCCATTTCCTTTACCAATGTCATTCTAGCTCTTGGTGCCCATCACTAACTAAACATAATTGCCTTATTTTAAGAAATTAGAAGGAAAGTAGCTTGGAAAATAAGTAAGATACAGAAATGATTAAGTGACAAAAAAATCAAAAATCATTGCTGGAACAGATATTTAACATAAAAAAAGGAGTACGGGGGCTGGAGAGATGGCTCAGCAGTTAAGAGCACCAACTGTTTTTGCAAGAGGACCAGCATTACCATCAGTAACTCTAGTTCTAGGGAATCCAGCACCCTCTTCTGGCCTCTGCAGGCATTGCACACATGGGTACACTCACATACATGTAGGCAAAGCATACATAAACATAAAAAATATTTTAAAAAATAATGTTTTTTTCTTGCTTCATAGCATAGTGGTTAGTATTTTTATGTAAGAGATTTTTCATATTTCATATTTTGAAATATTAATGATTTTTGAAATATCTTTGTAGCATGGTGCTGATGTCAATGCAAAAGATATGTTAAAGATGACAGCTCTGCACTGGGCAACAGAACACAATCATCAAGAGGTGGTGGAACTTCTAATCAAATATGGTGCTGATGTACACACGCAGAGTAAATTTTGTAAAACTGCATTTGATATTTCGATAGACAATGGAAATGAAGATTTAGCAGAGATATTACAGGTAACTTGGCTTTGAGTTTAAAAAAACAAATGAAAGGTGGCTGTATAGCAGGTGCTTCTTGTCTTAATGACGTGTTTCCTTTTGAGCAGGTCTTGCTAAGGTCTTTCACTTTGTCTTTGTGCATTACTGTTCGTAGTCCTGATGGTAGAAATAGGAACATTCTGTGTCATCAGAAGATTAGATGAGGTGCCAACTTTTTGTTTCAAGTTTCTGAATTTCCTTTTCTAGACATTTTAAATATTTTTGTTAAATATTTGGATACCATGTTTTATCAAAATCAATTATAAATTACTTTATGAATCTTTAGTGACTACAATATCCTCTGAATGGGTGGTGTAGCCTTTCCAAAAAAATGTTTTTTTCACATTTTAAAAAACTTATTCTGTGTGTGTGTGTGTGTGTGTGTGTGTGTGTACGTGTACACATGCCCTTGATGTGTGGGGCTGTGGGTATATGTCAGATCATTTGTGTCAAGGTCAGAGGACAACTCTGAGGAGTCATTCTTTCCTTCCACCTTTAATAGGGGTTCTGGGGACCAAACTCAGGTCACCATGCTTACATGGCAGTTGCCTTTAACAGCTGAGCTATCCCACTGAACCCTTCCCCTTTTTTGTAATCTTATAATGTTCTTTTCTTCAAAGACATTTTTGTCCAACATTAACATATTATTTATTTATTAATATTTATCATTTTTATTTTATGTGTATGAGTCTATTGCCTACACGTTTGGAAGTGCACCTGTGTCATACAATGCCTGTGGCAGTCAGAAGAGGGTGTCAGATCCCATGGAACTGGACAGTTGTTAGCTGCTCTGTGGGTGCTGGGAATTGAACACAGGTCCTTTGCAAGAGTAGGCAGTGCTCTCAACTGCTGAACCATCTCTCCAGCCCCAACATTAATATATTTTAAAAAACTTTTTAAAAAATGAGTTTAGACCTAGCAAGATGGTCTCTCTCCAGACAGTATGTCCATTTGTTTTGGTCGTTTCATTTGGTGCCTGTGAGTTAATAGAAAGGTTCTCTTTAGTCTATTTTAGGGACCGAGGTGAGGTGAAAGTTTTGTTTTGGTTCTTACCAAAGATAATCCTTTTCCCTTTCATCTTGTTTCTGATGATGCCACTTTTGGGGGTTTTTACCAGGCATCCTTCTCCTGAGCCCTGCTTTTCCCTAAGCTCCTTGAAAATGGCTTAAATGTTCAAATAGCAAGATCAGAAGGTACCACCAAGGCAGACATGTCTGACTTAAGATGGCACACTTGGCCAAGGTTTTGTGATGTATGTGATGTAGTCTTTATCATGTAGGTTTGTTTCTTTTATTTTTTGCCATCTTTAAAAAAAAAAAACAAAACTGGAACTGGAGAGATGGCTCAGCAGTTAAGAACACTGGTTGTTCTTGCAGGAGACTGGGGTTTGAATCCCAGCATCCACATGGCAGCTAACAACTGTCCTAACTCCAGTCTCAGGGGATCCCACAGCCTCTTCTGACCTCCACAGGCATTGCATGACACAGGTGCACTTACCTATATGCAGGCAATACACGCATACACATAAAATAAAAAAAAAACAAAAAGAATAAAAACCAAAATTGTTTGTAGACATAGTTGTGTTTGGCATTTTTGGTAACCAGAATTACTTCCTGTAGCCAGACAACATTCCATATAAATTATGTTCACTTACTGCCTCTTCTTGCCCATTTATTTTTAATATTTTATTTATTTATTTGGGTCTCCCTGTAGCTTCTGCTGGCCTGGAACTCACTATGTAGACCAGGCTGGTTTTGAACTCACAGAGATCTGCGTGCCTCTGCTTCCCAAGTGCTGGGACTAAAGGCATGCGCCACCACACCTGGCTCTATTATTTTTATTTTATGTGTATGAATGTATTGCCTGCAT